TATTGTTGCTCTTCCATTTGCTTGTTTTTATGCTGATAAGCTGTCCACTGTCGTAACCGCTGTTCCTGAAGGGGTTTAAAAAAAAAAAAAGTTGTGTTGCAGGTGGCGGTCCTGTGCCAGTTCCTGAGGGAGGTGGACTACATGACGGCGTTCAAAGCCCTGCAAGAGCAGAACAGGTACGCCTTGTTCCGCACAGCCTTGAGCACCAAAAAAGTTACACAGCAGTTCCACCGTGACTTTTTTTTTGTTTGTTTTTTTTTTTTTTTTTTTATGTCCTTGGATGCAGTCACGACGCCATGGACTCCTTCTACGACTACATCTGGGACGTCACCATTTTGGAATACCTCACGCGTATCCTCACTCAACTTTCAATTCACACGTTTGTATTTATTTCTTTTGAAATATAACCTTGACCGTGATCAGACATCCACCACAAGCGCGGTGAAGCGGAGAAGAGACAAATAGCGGTAAGAAGTGTCAACATACGTTGGGTATAAAAAGTCGACGCAGCCCAGCGTTTTGAGTGTGTGCGTATATGATGAAACGTCCTCTCTTGCAGATAAAAGCCATCGGTCAGACGGAGCTGAATACGAGCAACCCCGAGGAGGTTCTGCAGCTGGCGGCGCAGAAGCGCAAAAAAAAATTCCTGCAGGCCATGGCTAAGCTTTACTTCTGAGTCCCATTTTTAACCTTGTGCTCCAACTGGATAATCGGCTGGCCGATTTCATTGGCTGAAGCTTTTTTAAAAAAAAAAATCATCAGAAATGAATGTTTTTCTTTTTTAAACTCCACCCAAAACATTTTTTTTCTCCATTGAAAATAAAATTTCAAATATGTCTGCTCAGCGGGGCATTTTCATCATTTTTTTTTCCATTCTCTCATTGATTGGTCCGAGCCAAACTTTTTGTCTCCTAAAACGCATCTGTTGCGATCTCTCACTCACACCTGTGGTTCAAAATGAGCCTTTTACATTTTTTCCCAGCATCGTTCTTTTATTCCCCTGTGTGGCTCTTTTGTTGTGTTCTATTTGAGAAACGTGATCTGTTTTCACATTTTGTGGCTGACCCCGTCAATGTCGTGTCGAGCTTAAAAAAAAAAAAAAAAATCTGACACACACATGCACACAAAAAAGATGCTCACATTGTATTGTTTTGAAGTCCCCCAGCGGCACGGAGGAGCCGTGAACCCTTTGCAGGCCTTGACAGACTTTGTCGGCGCTTTCCAGGCAGACGCAAAACAGATCACACATGCGGACAATAATCGTGGCGGAGCACTGCAACGCTGCAACATCTTCAACCGTATCCATGACATTTTTTTAAAATCTAATTTGCAGGATAAATTCAATATGTCGACCACGGAAAGTTCTTTTATCCTCTCCTAAAAAAAAAAAAAAAAACAACTCTTGAGAAAAAAATAAGCGAAGTCACATTTATCATTTTGACTTGTACTCCAGGCTACAACATGTCCACAATTATGATGAAGACCTTCCATCACAGTATTAATCGTATGTTGTGTTTGGCACTCCAGTTAACGTTTTTAAATCCAATGAAACAAATGTAAACTAAAAAAAAGGCGGAATATCACCACTAGGCGGAGCCCTAAACTTGGATTAAAATATTCGATCCCTTGCGCAGTTCGGGCCTTCTAAAGATTTTTTCTGTGAAGATGAGAGGTGTAAAAACACAAAAGAAAATCCAAAATGTCTTTTAAATAGTGGAAAAAGTCTTATCGTCACCCATATATGAGGATTGTTGCCCTTCATTGAATTCCCATTCCTTGATCATTGACAGTATTTAACACATTTGTGTCAGTGTGAAATTTAATGTGCCATTATTGATTGATTGGCGATTGTCCGATGTTCACAAGTTACATTCTACGTGAAATGTAAATTTCTATAACATTTCAGAAAATGCATTCAAAACAACCCAAGTATTTGGAAATAATGTAAAGCTCTATGTTGTAATTTAGAAGAAAAAAAAGTACAGTGGTGCCTTGGGACATGTAACGTAAGACACGCCATTGAAACGAATGGAAAGGCCGATAATAATTTGCAGCCCCCCCCTCCCCCCAAGAAACAAATGTTCTTTTTTTAATCAAAACAATATCACTATCATGTACTTTATAAAAACATTTGGTAATGACAGAATATAAAGAGACACTCTTTTCATATTTCTGTTCAATGGACATTGTGCTGCCCCTTCAGGTGTGTACGCATTGGCCACCTGGGGGCACTATAAACTGCAATAAAATGACTTGCTCTTCGCAGCAGATAAAGAACACACGCCTGTGACTATTGTATTATCTGTCCGCAAGATGTGTTGTGACGCCGATGCTACTTGGTTGCCCGTGTATCATGATTTGCATTGTTTGTTAGCATGAAGCTAAACTGTCTTTGAAGGCCAATCTATATGAAAACTGCCAATAAATGAGAATTGTTCACTGCCAAACTGCTGCTTTTCGTGAAGCTTGTGAAGTGGTGTGATGATGCGCTATTGAGTTAATAAATAACAGGATTGCCTATTTCAAAAAAATATATATGTCACAAGGCATTGGAGAATATGAGGACAGTATGTGGGTGGAAACGGAGTAATTGGGGAGGATGAAAAGGGGGAAAAAGTGATGGGAAAAGTAGGCAAATATAAAAGAAGCCTATAAACGAGTGTCAAATGTAATCTAGAACTGTGTGTTCGTGTGTGTGTGTGTGTGTGTGTATGTGTGTGTGCGCGCGCGCGCGCGCGCGTGCATGGAGATAAACACTGCGAATTAACCAGATCTCCTTATGAAAATCTCTTTCACATGCCGCAAATCACACACACACACACACACACACACACACACACACACACGCACAGATTCCACGGAGAAGTATGCAGCATGATCTATTACCAGTCCTCCTCTCGCGGTTTGTTTGATTTCATCGGCACTGACTGATAAGTACAAATGTTTTAAGATCCAGAATGTCGACCCAGCATGGATTTACGGCGAGGGATCCTCGCAAAGAAGAAGAAGAGTTGGGGAGACAAGTTTTGGTGGACGTGACCGAGGAGCACTCTTCAAGTAGCTGGTAGCGTTGCAGGGATTAAAAGATCAAACTGGTGTTTTCACTTTGTTCATGAAATCAGTTACACACAAAAGGATTAGGGGCCTTCGGGGGAGCCTTGAGGGCCTCTGCGAGTCGACAAGCTGACCCGCGTTCAACTTTTGAACTCGCTGGCAAGGTCTGGATGCAATAGTAGCCTACTGCCAGGCTCACCAAAAAAAAACAAAAAAACCCAACATTCATGTAGAGTGGAAATAAAAAGTCTACACACCCTTGTTCGAATGTCAGGTTGTGGGGGGGGAGGGACTTTTTCCACCATGAATGTGATCTACAACCTATACAACTGAGAGGCAGACATTTGAACAAAAAGTGAAATAATGATGGTGGTTGCACAAATGTGTACACCCTTTCATAAAAATGATGTCACAGTCATCAGAATTGACCAATCACATGAAAGGAATTTGTTAAATAGGAGTCAGCGCACACCTGCCACCTTTTAAGGTGCCTCTCATTAACCACAAACAAATTCCACCTGTTAGAGTCATCTTCTTTTTTTCTTGGGGACATTTTTATGCTTTCATGTTTTATGCTAACACTGACTGCTTCTATAGAACTGTTCATAATTCCCCCCCACCTGGCCTGGGCCCAAGTCGCAGGAAAAAAAACAGCAGCCAGTAGTGCTTCACTGTAGGTAAGTTGTTCATTTGATGATGAGGGGGAAAAAAAAAATCTTTCATTGTTGAAAAATAGAATATCCCATTTTTGTCGAAAAAAAGCAAACTACGGCGTTCTTATTTTAAGGTCACATCGGCCAGTCGTATGCTCATACACCACAGCTGCAGCGGAGAAAGCCGCGCCAAGTACGTACCATTTGTTTTGGGCCTTCAAATCAACAAAGTCTTTTGAACTTTTAAGGCTCGAAACTGCAGCATGAAGATGATTTATTTGCCCAGACGTTAGCAACTTGCACAAAATGGCTCCCTAATACATCAATTTACTGGTTAAAAAAAAAAAAAAAAAAAATGCCACTGTGAAATCTAGACTCGCCTTTTGCCAAGGAATGAGCGGCTAAGAATTTACCCCCTGTTTGATTCCCATGACCGTGTGCTGGTGGTCTGCCCAGTCGTGTCACCATGACGGCAACCACACGTCAACGAGACGGCTCGCGCTGTTTGAATTTTGAAAAAGCAAAGAATGGAAATAATCTGTTGGAAGGTCAAACAGTCACCGTCATAAATGTTAGCATGGAACAATAAGACACTTGCCATCAGGGGCAGTATCATACAATGCTTAACTTTTGACCTTTTGCGGTCTTATTTAAAATTGCACTCGAAAAATAGTCCAGACATAAAAAAAAAATAATAATAATAATAAAAATACACAAACAAAAAAGAAGTAATGAACATAAAAAATTTAAAACTACTTCAGCTCTGATGTAAATAGTCCGCCGTGTCAAAACTAAGAAGACAACAGGGCGGATCCTCACAATTCCAAAGAATTTACAACCGCCGTGTTTTCCTCTTTGTCCGGGGCGACATGCGCGGACTTTTACGAGTGGCGGGGGGCCG